AAATTATCAAAAAATAATAAAATTTTAATAAAGATCCAGATAGATTAAACGCAATTGCAGATAACGTTTATTCTTTGTTAAAAATCAGAAATGGCGTAAAAAATTGTAGATTGTCTATTCTAGAATTTCATTCCACCTTATTGTATAACGCTTCGAATACCTCACGATCCCGTTCCATTACTCATCTCTCGAACGCAGATGCTGTTTTCGGTAACGAGGCATGAATCGACTCGATCTTCCTTAACCGGTCCCGCTCGAGCTCGAAACAGATTGGCCGGTGTTTTAATAGTGGTCAAGGTCCTCCGTGAATTCAGGTCGTCTCTCCACCCGATATCACGGCCCTTAAAGGGCTGCTCCAAGGCCGCGTTCCGAAGGATGAGGCGAAGAATGCGATCTCCGCGCATTGTGCGCCACGCGGATGACGTCATGCGCCTCGCTCGATAAAGTAGCGCGGTTCGGGATAAGTAGGAGCGGGGACCGGTTTGTTCAGCGGTTTTATTTAAACGAGCAACAAGGCGGTGCACGACGGCCACTTCGATTACGAAACGCACGTTTTCCCGTTTCAGGCAACTGGGTCGCCTTCCACGAAGAATAGACCGGATCGATTTTCGATCTTTATCGATGCACCTCGGTTTTGACGCATGGGCTCGATGTGGCGTGTCGAATGGAAATGGGTGTTACTCGTTCCGATTGAAACTTTTCTCACTTTGCCATTATGATTTATCGGATATATTGTCCGAGATGACAAGAAAAGGATGGTTCGTAAACGTCATTGTATAGAGTTTTTTTTAGTGGTGGGGATGTACTCCGTTGGTAAGAAGTTTTGAAATGAGAAAACATATGTTCGAGGATATTATTTGTTTCGAAACGAATCGAAGAATTTAAGTCGTTCAGTAAAGTTTCGAGTAACGTTTCTGGCAAGTTGTATTTTTTCTTTTGCCAAAATGTAGACCGATATGCTAAACATGTTATCCATTTCTATTATTGCCAAGTTATATCGGAGTTATTTCTAATTATATTGAGAATTACGTTTCTCATTTGTTTCAATATATTTAGCATGCGAAGAAATTGCACGAAGTTGTATTTGCGATAAAATATTAAAAAAAAAAAAATATTCAAAATTTTTTTAAAGGGGGATCTTTAAAGTGATATTACGTAACAAAAAGAGTACATCGTTATTTAAAATTTATATTTATACTACAAAACGATAACAAATTTTAATTCAAATGACACATTTATATCGTTCATTTTTCAAAAGGTCGACTTTTATGGTTCTCAAGGGTTGGTCGAAGATTCGAGTCGCCGATGAAGTTGTTAAGAAAACGCAATCGTTCCTTTTTCGGTCAAGGAGAGTGTGCCATTAGATGGCTCGGAAAGGAGCCATCGCATTACCGACATGTTAATTAATTAACTTTTTAAAGGTTTGAACTTCTGTTTTACGCATTGTATCATTCACGGAAAAAAGATGGGATCGTAAAAATTTGTATGGCTATATTTAGTTTATGAGTCACGTTGATTGGCATTTTTACGAAATTTTCGTTTCTCGAACGATCGTAAAACTCGTTTTTTTTTTTCATTTGCCAAAAATAAG